ACAGTTATATTTTACGTCGTCGTCGCAACAAGAGTAGATATTATTTTAAGATATTTTCGTCAAATACGAAAAATCCGATTTGAGAGTATACTTGAACATTTTTGGTTGTAACTTTTAATCCATCTAATAATCTGATTGCGAGTTTCCCAGTTCCCATCTGCACAATATTTCTGATCGATTAATATCTTAATACCTTGTATAATATGACCTTTTACGTTCAGCCGTTTGGCCTGTTGAACTGCCCGATGAATTAACATAAATTAGCACGGTTTTTCTATGGTACAACTCGGTTTCCTGTTACTATACGTTAATGGCTACTACATTTTTTTTTTTCACTTAGCTTTGTGCCACTGCCTTCGCGCTGGATAATATATTATCTTACAAGGCTACAAACTTTGTTTTAAATATACGTTTTAAAACTAAGGGGATATAAATAATAGGCGATAAGGGAATAAGGGTGCTATAACATAACAGGTGTTTTAAAATATAAATAAAATAACAGACATTCAAGCTTAAAAAAAACTATATCAAAAATTAAGTGCTCCACCTCCTCAAAAATTGTTTTCTGGTTATGGTAGTGAGCGGATCTCTGTGTAAATAATTACCTAAATTAATAAATGTATTTTAGAAAATTATCTTGGTATCTATGTAAAATATTTTCATAATTTAAATTTAAAAAAGTAAAAAAAAAACATCCTAGGATAATAGGGTCGGATGCAGCCACTGATATAGATAATTTACCGCATATCTGTAAGCAATGAAAAATCATTAATTACAAAAAATGATTTTGAGCCGAGTTTAGTCGATAATGATGCTTTGTCAACAATATATACATGTAATTTTATAGTAAAATAATTAAATAGGCTTTATATATTTTCTTTAATAATATTTGTTTAATGTTGTGTCTATTTTCCCAGTTTTACTACGTTTTTCTCGATTTTCCCATGTTTTATCCCGGTTTTTCATATTTGCTGGAAACAATTTTTGGAAAATCGAAAAATGACCTCCTTATAGTACCTTCCCACATTAATTTATTTACAGAAAAGGTGCCACACTTAAAAATCCGAGCAATTCTTCTAGTAGAAAAATTGCACACAGATAAAAAAAAAAAAATAGTAAACATCTTTGTGAAACCTAAGCATTCTTCGCTATACTAAGAAACTTAAATACGTTTTTAATCTACGCAGTGAAAAAAAAGGAGCATTTACTTCTAGTTATAGATAATTTAATGTATCCATAATTAATATTTGTATATATTAATACATACGGTGTTTCAAAAGTTTTCAACTGATTATGAACTAACATAGCTCAGCAAACGTTGATCGCAGGTTAACGACTCATGTACATGTAAATAACTCAGGATATAACCTCTAACCTCCCTACCCTGCGCACGCCGCTGATTCTACGTATAATACACTTGTATATGTGGTTTATTTAACGTGAAGCATATATTTAGGTTTGCTGTATAAAATTAATATTTTTTGAATATTATACGTCTATTTTTTGAATAATTTAGGTGTGAAAATAGTGTAATTTAAATTTCAATAGTTTATTTTTCGTACATAATTTGTGTATATTTAGTGTAAGATACATATTTTTGAGGATATTATATAATAATTGTTTTATATTAGGAATAGCATTCAGCTATTAGGCCGCAGTAATATTGTTCGTCATAACGTGTAGTTTAGGTTTTTTCCTCGTCTGTATAATTAAAATTCGTCTGTAGGTACCTATATTATAATCAATACACAATGGATATAATTTGATTTTATTTATAAATCCTGATTACCGTGGCGTAGCCAGAAGATAGGCCTCATATGAAAGTTAACATAATTTTAAAATCAACAATTTGTGTTGGTAGTCTTTCCTACTAAAAAATTAATATTATTTTATCTGACTTACCCAGAAAAATATTTTTAGCCGCGCCTATGCCTAAGTATTATATAAAAAATTAAATCAAAAATTAAATTTGTTAAGCATTTATTTTATTTCCGCCGGCGTTCTACAGACATAATGTAAAATTATTATAGCTGACTTAACTTAAGTACTATACGGTTACGCAAAACTAATATTCGAATGCTATGGAGTCCTCTGCCCTAGAAATAAGTAAATAACCATATAAAACCCAACCATTTCAGGGGAGGTGTTTGAATATCAAAACAAGCGCGTCCGCGGGATTAAAACCTACTCAGGGTAAACGGGGAAAATGTTTTATTCTAAAAACATTTTATACTTTAATGGCAAAATGATATGCCATTATGTATGATACAGGTACATACAGTTGAAAATCCCGGTAGGGGGTATCGGTCTCTTTTGCCCTCCTCCTGTGGGCGCTCTTACATTCAAAATACTCCTCCTGCGTATGTACTACATGCACGTGTTACACAATAGATTTTTTTTTTTTGCTGGAAATCGGAGGTATAACCTTCGGAAGAATTCAGACATGGTGTCATGGTGTTAACGGCCGAGGGTTAGTTTTTTGTAAATGGTAACGCCCTTCGCTACTGGTCCCGCCCTGCTTTGTCCGTGCCAAAAGAAATACAATCCAATAATAAATTATAAATAACCTGCAGTTTCTATAGTAACTATAGTTCGTTGTGTGTATCCTTAACTATTACGGCTCTTATACACGAATTAAATTTTAGATTCTGAGTGGGACGAAGAAGCTAATGGTTTTACCAAGATGTTAAATTTTTTTATTTTTTTCTATCTATGCACAACTTTTCTACCAGAAATCTTCCTCCGATTTTGAAGAATAGTACCTTTTCTGAAATAAAATCAGTGTTGGTAGGTACTTTAGGGAGATCAGTTTTCCCAATAAATGAAAAATCCGGGAAAAACGGGAAAATAGGTATAATATTGATCAATATTGCCTATGCAATTATTTTACCATATATGGTTACATAAATACACTTTATCAACTGAACTCTACTCAGAATCGTTTTTTTGTTAGCAATATGGTTAATCGTTGCTAACAGATGTACATTAAATAACCTAAAACAGTGGCTACACCCGTCCCCATTATCCTAAGACAGATTTTTTTTGTTTGTTTTATTTATTTTATTTTAATCGTATTCCCGAGATAACCAAGTATTCTACAAACATAATTCGATTTTCGTACCAAAAATCTCTATAACACTGTGTCAGTTCCCTTTTAAGGCATAGACGCAACTAGACCACCAACTTTCGGGGCACTAAAATTATGGACATATCAAAGAACACGGGTTCTAGGCTCAAATTATCCCCTTTACACGGCTCTTACAATAGTTAACTACACATTTTATTTACAATTTTGTATATAGAAATGTATCATAATTATTTTCCATGCATGCATTGTCCGTAGGAAACCTGTATTTTGTTCTGCTCGTTAATTATGAATTATGATATGGATAAGATTTGATTGGATTTTTTGGGAGTGCTGATTTTAAACTTGGGCATGTTAAATACACCATAGCACATTAAATTTAATCCAATTTTTTACTCTGTAAAGAAAAAAATTGTTACGTTTTTAAATTAAAAATACGTTTTTCCAGACGTTTTTATCAGTTTGAAAAAAAGTGACTTTTCTGGTTTTTTCCTTGTACCTTTCATTTGTAAAAAAAAATGTCTACATTACACTCTACTTTTATTTTTTGACCACTAAGGTACAACTGTATGCATATTGAAATTAAATTCCGTCTAAAAGCTGGAAATGGTTGACAGTGAAGAGCTTAAATGGTCTATAATGCTTACAAAAAAAAAAGTACAACTTATAATGACTTATAAAAAACCTGTTTAAATGCATTTCTGTTTGGCCTAACAAGGTACGTAGTACCTACCAAATAAAAAAGACGGACTTACTTCGCACGTGGGTGTAATCACTGTTGTAGATGGAAAGTTAGGAAGACAGAAATTTAATGTATATCTGCAAGCAACGATAAACCATTGCCAAAAAAAAAAAACGATTCAGAAGAGAGTTCAGTTGATAGTGTTGCTTTGTCAACAATATATAATGTCATATTATGGTAAAAGATGATTACAACAATGTGCGTTTCCATGACAACAATGATTGTTTAAAAAATATTAAAATAATAAAAACTTAATAATAACAAAAAATAAATAAAAACGGTTGCCAATAACAACCGTTTTTTAATCTTTCAATCTTTTTTTAACCTAAATAACCAGGTTTTCTTCATTATCTCGAATATGAATGAGAATTTCCAAAAATTACTTCACCTAAGTTCCACCTATAGGTCATTTTCTTTCAGAAAAAGTACTATACTTGATAATCGGAGTGAGCTTTCTGGTAAAAAGTGTTTACATAAAAAAATAAAATAAGGTCTAGTAGTAATCTAGTAAGGTCTCTTATTGTTTTTCTACTAGAGCAATATTTCTGGTAGTAAACTTAAGTGATGAAAATGTATAATAATGGATCGTGACGCTGCAAATTTATAATTCATTTTTCCTTTATCCTAATTATTATGAAAACCACTTGAAAAATCGTGAGCAATTGGATCCCTAAATGCAACAAGAAAGGCTTTTTAGAATTTTTTAATTAAAGCAATATTTACGGAAGAAAACAGTTTTCAAAAATTAAAAACAATGAAATCGAAAACACCGCTATAAATATTTGCCATTTTACCCAATATTATTCTAATACGCGTCGAGACCATAGACGAACACTCCTAGTATAGGAGAGCACAGCCCGTGCGATGTTGGCAATAAACTAATAATATAGTAATAATTCTTTTTTATTCGCCGCCGCGTTCGGCGCGGTTATGCGAACGACACCTAGCGGACGACGGTCGAACCAAGGTGGCGGCACCGATGTGGACACGTCAAGGATGCTAGCGAAACGTACCGGAACGTTCTGCCACGCCATCACCTACAGCACGGGAGAACGGCGGCACCGGTCCGAGGCGCGCAACTTTTGTGTTTTTCCCCCGTCGCCGTCGCAGCAAACGACGACGACACTCGAACCAAACGATTGATTCCCCCGTTACGGTATTCGTCCGTAGCTTGTACGTGCGCAAGTTCGCGTGTTTCTTTGTACGTGTGCGTCGTCCGTTCGCCTGTGTGTGTGTGTACGACACAATATTTATAATATACACAGATATAATATCGTATACGTGTATATCTATATTATATATATATATATGTATATATACTTGTTTATATAGATGTTTGTATACATATATATACATATATATATATATATATATATATCTAATCTATCTCACGCACTAGGTATATTATTATTGTAACGCCGCCGTTGTCCGTGTTTTTCGGTTTTTTTTTTTTTTTTTCTGTTATTATTTTTTATTTCTTCTATTATTTTTACTAGATATAATATAATATAATATTGTTATTTCGAATGATAATAAAATAACAATAATAATCATAATAATCATAGTAATAATATGAACGGCGTCCGCGATTGGTCGGACTTGCAGATTTCCAGTACTGGTTCCGCCGCGTCGGTCGTCCGTCATCATAGCCGCCGCCAACGACGACGACGTGCACCAGTAGCAGCAGCCGCTCAGTGACAGTGTGTAAAGTTCGTAAAGTTTGTTGTACTTTTATAGCAACGAAAACTACGACAAGGTATTCGAAAAAAAATCAAGTCACGATAGAAACATAAAAAACAACAAGACCAACCGCTACGGAAAACTGAACCCACTATAAAATATTAAAAGCGACGGTTAGTTACTGATTTGTTGCAAGGTAGTTGGCCCGTGTAGTCATCGTATCGTGTCCGTTGTACGCGTATCGCAACTGTCGTCGTATCTCGCGGTATCTCAGTTACGGTGCGCGCGGATTTTCGCGTGTGATGAAGGGAACGTTCGCGACGGCCGAAAAAAACTCGCAACACGAACCGAAGCCGTTGAAGCAACAGCAGCGACACTACAACAACCGTCGCAACAGGACGAACAGAAACGGAAACGGTGACAACTACTCATACTGCTGTCTGACAGCAGCAACGTCTGTCAGATGTTATTGTATTCGGAAACGTAAACCACAGTGACCGATATTCACAATCATTTAATGTACAGGCCTACGCACAATAATTCAAACGTGTAAGTACTACCTGAGTAGGTACATAAATTGGCAATAATAATAATTTTGTTCCGTTTGACAAGTGCAAAACACACAAACCGTTGATCAGTAAGTACCTACTGACAACTTATGTGTGTTATTAGTGTTTCTGCTTTTATACACACTTGCAATATTTTTGTGAGCAGGTATACAGTTTACAATATCAATCAAATTGTTCTGTGTGTCGTATAATGTTGCTATGGACAATGAAAAATAAAATATCTATTAGGTGCCGTTGTGTTGTGTCGGAACTTTTATGTGCACACAGTTCAGACCGTCACACATTTACGGCACAGTTAAGATCATCTAGTTTATTCGGTTTCACCACTCATAACCAATCATTCAAACACCATTTAATATAGTTGTTGTTCCTTTTTTAATAATGCTTTGTCTTTAATCATGTTACATTGAAATTTTACAAAATAATAGTTAGTTCATTTATTGGAAAACACATTTGGTTAAAATAATATGTATTCACATCATGTTGCTAGTTTTTAGATAATTTAAATCCAAATTATTTTATGATTTAAATAGTTTTTTTTACATAGGTAGGTACTAATTTCAATATTTTTTTAATTTTGATGGATTATAAAAATATATTTATGTTAATACATTCACATATACATTACATTCACTAAACCATAAACGGACTAAAAGTATAGGTAGGTACCCAATAGATAAAGTGAGGAATAATAATTATAATAAAGTCTTTATTTTGAAATAGAATATATATATTTTAAATATAACATAATGTTAAGCTGCAAAACCCAATAAAAAAGCAGAGCTTGTAAAAAGTTGGGTTGAGTTCAGTATCTAGTTATGAAAAAGTAAAAAGTAAAATTGTTTTTATGTAATTTTGTAGATTATAACAGAATTTAAAACAAAAACTGTGGTATGGGAAATTCAATGTTTGTTATAATAAAATTATATAGATACTTAAATTATATTATGTAGCCCTTTCTCCTAACCTTTCGCCCTCTCACCGACTTCAAATTTTTATCTTTTGAACCATTTGCTTAGAATTAATTGACCTGACTTATGTTATAATTTGTTAAGATATTTTCTTCATACAGTTAAATATTATTATGTTTTGCCTTATTGTATACATATTTACTTTGTGTTCTCTCTAATTTACCAACATCCAATATAATTTTTTAATCAAAGATAATTTAACTATAGTTAGGTGCCTTTAGTTTCCTAACTACCATAATTACTAATCTAATAATTTTGGTAATTATATTAAGCTAAGGTTAGTTTCATTTTTTTACCATAATTTCATCAACTTTTCTTTATTAGTTAAGTAGGTATGAGGGTAATTACTAATTATAATATTACAGAATTAGATAAGAAGCTAGATTAAAAAAATCTTATCAGAAATTTTAATTTGATAACCATTTTTTTTTTTTTTTTGGTATGCACTTTAAATGTGATGAATGTGAATGCAAATGCATTCATAATGAAAATAATAAATAGTGTATTATTGCTTTTAAGACATTTTCAAAAAATACAATTTTTTTTTGTAGTTTGACAAAATCTCTGCATAATGCATAAGTGCAGAACCATAATTCATACTAACATTTCATATCTGTAATTACTTTTTATTTTTCAAAACCAATTTAAAAAAATTACCTCCATCAAATATAGTAATATTTAAAACAGATAATGATTTTTAAATAAAAATAATTTTTTTTTTAAATGACTAGAATATATATCTGAGTATACTATTGAATCTTAAGATTTCAGTGCCCAGTACCATTATGGCTTTTGGCTCAATCATGCTTTACAGGAAAAATGTGTATGCCTCATAAAGTTATTATTTTGTTGGAAAGACAAAAGCTTAATATACCTAAACTACATTGAATAAAGTTTTTTAATATTTTTTAAGATAATAATCACAAACTTTATTGTAAGTCTTTATAAAAGGTCAATATTTAACTTTTTTAGACCATTATTTAAAATTGGAATTCAATGTAGTCTGTAGAATTTTGTTGTTTATAAATTTTAAATATTATGTTTAAAATAACTCATCTCTATTCCCCTAAATTAGATAATTTCATATATAAAAATGCACCCCTTTCTATGGGGTTATCAGGCATTAGTCAAAGTTTTGTCTTTATGATGATCAAAATGTTAAACATGTTTAAATGTACAAAATTTGAGTAAATTTGGAATACCGTTCGGGTTCCTTAGTAGGTATATAAGTAAAAAAAATGTAATCAACATTTTAACAATTATTCATGAAATTAATTTAACACGTTAATAGGGAGTGAAGTTAATAATTACATGACTATATGATTTTTAATGATTAGGCAATATTATTATTATAAAATTGAATTGGCTGGGTAATAATTATTTTAATGACTAAATGTTAGTATCTAACCCAGTGGTTCTCAAAGTGTTGAACTCGCTGTTTACAGTAGATTTACATAACTATTTTGAATATTTTTTGAAAAACATTGTTTTAGTTAGTATATTTTCCGCAAATTACTCACACTATACCTAGAAAAATTTGAATGCCCAGTTCTTTAAAATTAAAAAAAAAAAATACTGACATAATTGTTGATAAACATTGATTTTATTTACTTTTGTTACCATTGTTTTTATAATGGTATAAACACCACAACTAATACTACTCTAATTAGAATAGGTTTTTGATTACAATAAATTACAAGAGCATCTTGAGAAAATCATTATTCAAAAAGGGACCATTAGTCAGAAAATTTTGAGAACCACTGATCAAATACAAATTATATACATATTTGGTTTAAAATTAAAACCATAAATATTAATACATCTACTTATTAATTAATTACTTAAAAAATAATAATTTGTTATAATGATAACAAATATATTTTATTCATGAATTACAAGTTCTAGAAAATATTAGACAATTTCACATGGAAATTATTATAACAAAACAATAATATAATTTAATACTTACTACATAGGTATTAGATATTATAGATATTAGTTGAATTAATCCGAAAAAAAATGTTTTGTTAAATCTTATATACCTGCCTTTTATTTGCTGCTTATATAAGAAGAAAAACTGAGCCCTCAGAAAAGAGGCCGAAATGTCTCCAAAAATAAAAGGAGCCTGAGTGCTCACTAACAAAAATATAATTAAAAAGTACACATACAGCAGTGTTTCCCAAAGGGTGTGCCATGAAATTTAAAAGATGTGCTGCGACAACTTGAACTATTGTCTATTAAAACACCATTGTAAAATATTCATACAATTCATACATCCTTTTTTTTATTTATTTTTTCTACATAAATCAAAAATTAGTATTGAATTTGTTATATTGTAAAAACTTTTTTAGTTATTAAATATTATTATGTTTAATATGTGAACAAAGGATGCCAGTTGATTCATGTAATTTAACTTGATTTACCTACTCTTTTGTATGTTTCACAATGTCACACATAGTAGCTGTTCTATTAAATAAATTATAACATAACGGATATTAAAATTGTTTTACCTACTAAATTTAGTTTTCAGAAGTGCACGAATTATTTTCATATGGGGGAGTTCATTGAACAATAGTACATCATTTTTTTTTGAATAGGTAATTGTATAATATATACTCGGTAATATGTTTAATAAACATATAATATATATAACAAATACATATAAACATTACTCCAAACAAATAATAACTTAAAAGTAAAAAAAATTTCTGTAGATATAATACAGTATTACCATAGTTTATTATGTATCAAATTACACGTAATTTGTATAGTGAATAATGAATGGCACAAATTTAAAATCAATTTCAAAATCAATTAACGGGTGTTTTGAAATCTTAATATCATTTGAAATAGTATTTCTTTTAAATTTGAATTTTAAATATTTTTATACATAAATAATTTAAATGGAAATTTAAATTAAATATTTCTTTTTGTTATTTATAAAGTTTTATCTATATTTTATTTGGAGGGGGAATTAGAAATATAATTTTCAAAATGTTTTGGTGGTACAAAAAGATAAATTTGCACAGGTCAATTTACACCACTGCATACATAGTTTTATCAGTTGGCATTAATCCCATTTTAAATAGCAAATGTAAATCATATATGTACATATTTCACAGGATGGGTGGGTCATTTCATATCTGTATGCATTGATTAATCATTGCTAATAAAAAACATACCTGACTGGAGTTCACTGATATTTGTTTTAAAAGACCATAATATTTACAATTTTCATTAAAATTTGATACTTAAATTCTTATAAAAAAAATTGTACATTACATTCATTTTTTAATTTTTTTTAACCACAAAGTACGACTTATAATGAACCTACTGTTGAATTTTCAAGCATTTCTATTAAGTTTTAAAATTTTATTTACAGAGTACCTAGGACATACAAATTAAATAAAAACTCTTAAAATTAAAATGTCTATAAATAGCTAAAAAATGGCTGAAATTTTTTGATTTTACCACATCTAGAAAAGGCACATATAAACTTCAAGTTTTTATAAATATTTTTAACTGAATTACAACAAAAAAATAAGTTAAAATTAATACTATAACCAGCTATAATAAATTATTATATCGTAAATAATCTGTTTTTCCATTTATTATGAAAACTTCTTTGAAAATTAAAAAATGATCTCCCCAAAGTACTACCCAGATGAAATTTACTTTCAGAAAAGATGAAAATTGGTGCAAGTATTTGTGAAATTTGCGAATTTGTGAATTTGCTGATTGCATGAATTAGGCATATTTTTTTCTGTCAAATGCATGAATTGTTGAGTAATACATTTTTTGTTATTATACTATTAATATGGGCCAGAATTTAAAATTATTTCGATAATTATATAAATTGTATTTTCTGCATAATGTTATCTATTTAACAGTGTATTATAATAAGGCCAGTTCCCTATATAACTTACGTATAAAATATTTTATCTTACTGATGTTACAGGTTTTCTATGGCCTAAATAAAAAAACAATATACCTACTATCTATATTATATATTGTTCAGTGGTTAGTTAGTTGGTTGGTGAACAGTGCATTTAAGTATTTATTATAAGTAGAGACAGGATTTATATTCTCTTATAATCCACAAAGGCGCTTTAAAACATCAAACAAATCTCTGAAAAAAAAAATTAAAAATATTTTTATAAAAAGGAAAAACACTGAAGTTTAAGAGGTATTGCTTAATTCATAAAATGGGCAATTTTTTTGAAGATTTTGAAAAATCTTAAAAATATTGATAATTATTTAATTTTATTCATGACATTCTTTATTGTAAATGGGTTTAATTAAAACAACTTTGAAAGTGTATCATGAAAAAAAAAAATTAGCCTAGCTTTTAATTATTGCTTATGAAAATGTTATAGAATGATTATAACCACAGGAAAATAGGCCTATATTAAGAGGTCAATTTATATTGATACCCTTTAAAAAAAAACATTAAATGTTCAATTATAATAATAATATTTAATTATTTAATTATGATGGTTAGAGTTTTAATTTTATTTTATGTAGATAAATGTATGGTAAATGTTATGTAAGTTGCCATTTATTTTTATCAGTGTTCCAAGTTCAAATTTATGCTACATTTGTGAAAAACTGGACCAAGAAAATTGTAATTTATTATAAATATAAATAAATTTATTTTTAATTAATATAATAATAATAATAAATATAATTAATACAAAAGAAAAACTACTATACTCTATACTTCAGAGCAAAATTTCTGCTAAAAAGTTTTTTTACAGATACAAAAAAAAAAAAAAATAAATATCATAGTTTACCAATAGCTGCCCTACGAACATATAAGCAATTCAATTGATCTAATGTAATGTATACTAAAATACAATAAAAAAAAAAATGCTACACTAAAAAATTAAAACGTTTTTAGATACAAAAAACTAAATTTTCTTAAAATAATATAAATCTTTAAATAAGCCTAAGATTATTTTTGGTTTATATTATCTTCCTTTAATCAATTTAAAATTAACCCTAATTTCTCTTATACATACTTATAGAACATATTAATTTAATAATAATAATACTTATCTGTATTTGTCATTAACAACAGTATATACATTATTTTTTTACAAGAAAAATAAACACATTGATACTTTCCCAATAAGCATAGCTTGTGATTGGGGATAGTGAGTTCAAATCTATAATAATATATACATAAATTAAATTAAAAACTATAGCAAAATCTACATAAGACATTAATAAAATTAAATAAACATTAACTAATATCTAATATACTAAACCAATAAAAAGAAAAAGAAAGAAAACAAAAAAAAAATATTAAAAATTATCAGATAGATATATCATTAGGAAATTATGTAATTAATTATTTGTCTTTTATTCAACTATTTAAGTTGACTAAACATGATATTATATTTCCTGCGTATAGTAGTTCTAACATAAACTACACTTTTTGGGCCAAAGATAGTTTTAAACTTAACTGAATTTAGATTGGTTAATTTTTTAGATCTGGTATTGTGCACATGTTTGTTGTATAGTAAAGCTGCTGATGTCCATTTTCATTAATTGTAGTGTAATATTTTTAAAATAAAATTCATTAATTTTTAGAACACCAATATCATTATATAATTGAACAATTGAATAATGTCTATTTTTATTAAGTATAAATTTAATTAAAATATTTAATATGACTTCTAATTTATGTAAATTAGTTTTGTTGGTTCCACTCTATACAACAATTGCATATTAAATAATGGATTGTGCTAATGCTAAGTATACCATTTTAAGATTGCTAATATTTAAAATATATTTCAATGATTTAAATTTAAAAAAAACATATTTATTTTTGTATTATATATTAATATATAAATTAATTGTGTTGTTATTTTGTTACAGACAGTATGACTTGAAAGTTGGAGGTTACAACGATGATCATCAGAGGCCCATAGCAATGAACGGTGAAATTCCTAGTGTACCTATAACAACTCTGGCTGGCATTTCAAGTTTAACAGACTGTAAGTATAAAATGTATAATAAATACTTTTTTTTTTTACTGGCCATTAAGGTCTTTTGTAGCTTCTATTAAGTCTTTCCATTTATTATATTATTGCATTTTTGAGTTTTTTTGTTCCATCTACCATTTTATGTCTCCATTCATTTAATCTTTTTACGGTCACTGAGGTTTTCCTCTGGAGTACTTGTAAGTCGGTTAATTGGCCTGTTCATTTCAAAGTATGCTTATTTTGGCCTTTGTTATGTCTAACAGATATTTACTGAATATAATTTCTGAGATACTACTAATATGCCTTTATATTTATTCTTGACATAAATATTATCAATGTCATGTAGTTGAGAGGCTTTTTGATTTCTAATAGCAGTAATATAGTAAATGCACTAGAATTAGCATGGCTCGATCACAGCAACTGCCAAAGTAAGTACCCATAGTAACAATATAGTGGGAAAATTACCACATGCACATTGCCAAATTGGTTTTCATAAATTAGACAAATCTGTGTCACAAATTTTCATTCTCTTGCAACCACTTAAAATAAATGTACGCTTTGTTTATCGTACCATTGAATGTTACTGTAATACTGGTGATGTTGATTTGGTTAGAATTAGAAAAAAAAACTGTGATTGAAGCAGTTCATTGGAGAATCAATCATTCTATGGATTAAAATCAATGAGCGGTTTCTTGTATAACACATGATGACTTATGTATATATACTATACACACATTTAAATTATGTTCAAGCCATTGGTTAGTGTACCAATTAAAGAGAATCAAACTCAAAAGATTGAAAAAGCTTCTATTTTTATACTGCCCAAAAAAATGTTAACAAATTTTATTCATTGATGAAAAAATATTTACTGTAATGGAAAAATATAATATGCAGAATGATTGGATATATGCTAGATGGTCATTAGAGGCTAAAGAAAAGGTTTTATGTGTTCCAAAAATGTATTTATGTGAGAAAGGGGATAAAACTGGGGCTTATGAACATCAAGCAAGAGTTTTAGACCCTTCAGTGAAACCTCTTAGTGATTTATTATTGGGCTTATGATTTCATGGGTACCTAAATACATGGGTACATGTGTAATTTTGAAAACCATGTATCAATCTGTGTATTTAAAAATTCACATATATTTAGTCATGTACAATATGTATGTTCGAGTACTTTTTATGTTACAATATTTAGTTTTTAAAAATAAATGCTGGACACTGGGGACAGGTGTGTCACTGCTGTAGGTATTATTAAATCCACGAACATTACCAAATACATGTGTATTATTAAATACAGTATTAAATTCCTAGATTAATACACCTGTATTTAAATACCCATAGGAAATAGTAAGCACTAATTAATTGTTCCAAAAAATTACAATTAATTAGGTTTCCTAACAGGTTTCCTGGTTACAGGACAAAAATAACTTTTTGAATTTTATAAAGGCATCTGATTGGCCCTATACAAGCCCAGTATTGAATCTGCTTGATTATGGGTTTTAGAGCATTTTAGAGAGGAGAGCTTGTGTAAAAAATGACATTGAAATTTGAAGTACTGATAGTATTTATGTCTAGACTAAGTATATAGATTTTGAATAAATTAATATTGTAGACAGGATTTCATTTAAATTACAATATAATATATGTGTTATTAATTTATTTTATACTAAAGGAAAATTTTCTTATGTTTAATTCATATATGTGTGCATGCAGTTTGTTAAATTTAAGGCTGTTTTAATTATACTTCAATACTTACTGCCATTATGATAATTAAAACAATTTTATACTTTGTTTTAAACAAAATTAATTTTAAATCTAAAGCTACCAGTCAATAAAGTATTAGGTGTCAACTTTTATTAGCAAGATTCAAAATAAAAACAAATTAAATGAAAAAAAGTAGGTAGTGGTTTTATTTTCAAAAATAAGGGTAACAAAAAATAATATAAATGTAAAATTTGTTGAGTTACTCTTAATTGTTCTGTAAAATAATTTACGAAAAAAGTTAATACTTTCCGAAATAATGAGTGTCATATGATAAATCAATCACCTTATATAATATCGTTCAATAGTAAATTTTTTATCATTATTATATTTTCTATATTATATTTATGCTCTGTGTAATAATAAAGTAAGTAATTTAACCAAAATCGATCAAGCTGTTGACAAGATATCCCACTTTAAGTTTAGATTAGAGGAAAGTAGTGGTGCATTATTAAGACACTACGTGTCACACCCACACTCAAATGATACTCCACTACTCTCCTTCAACCCAAACTTAAGAACTTTTGATATAGGTTGACATTTGAAAATCAAAAGTTTTAATCAATTTTTAAGTGTAGCTTTTTTTTTGAAAGAAAATTTGATTGGGGAGGGGGGATACTTTAGGAAGGTAAATTTTTAATTTTACCAAAAATGGGAAAAATTGAAAGAAAAAACACTGAAAACGGGAGATTAAAAAAGTAAGTACAATATTAAACAAATATTAATTATTAAAGAAAATGTTTAATGCATATATAATTATTATTTTACAATAATAAGACATATATAGTGTTTACAAAGCAACACTATCAACTGAATTTCACTCAGAATCTTTTTATTAATGGTTTATCATTGCTTACAGATACAAATTACAAATCTAAAAAAAACTATCGGAAAAACAGTAAATATTTGCGGACCATGTTAATTTCATTATTTAAATTTTTTATGCATTATGTTTTCTACCAGAAATATTGCTTCAATAGAAAAACAAGAGACCTTTTTTTTTCATTTTAAATCTTAATGGTTTGTAAATAAATTTTTTTTCCAAGTAGTTTTTATAATAATTGGGCAAAATCAGGAATGATGTTAAAAGAATGAGAAATTTTATGGTAATAGTGGTTTCATTATATTAAATTAATTTTTTTTATTTTTAATTTATTTAAAAATATTGATATCAGACAATTTCGATAACAAATTTATATTTGCCTTTTCTAGATGTTGTAAAATTTTTAAAATAGTTTGGTAATTTATAAGCTATTTAAAGGCACTTAATTGTTGACTATTTTTTACGCAATTTTTATTTAGTAAGTACTATTTTTTTATATATTTCCACAAGTAATAAACAATCTGTATCATTTACTAGACACAATAAGAATATATGATAAAAGTTAAGAGGTCATGAGGTTTTGATGAAAGAAGCCACCCATTGATAACACTTTCCATTAGCTTGAAAAAATAATTTAATTTAATTTTTAATTTTTAATTTAATTGAGGAGATCACAACACCACTTATGCTTCAAATGTCTTAGAGGATTTCCAGGGATTGTGGGAATGGCCAAGTTTTTTATAAGTTGATTTGGATGATAATTTAAATGGTAATGGAATCTTTTATAAAAGATTTTTGCATCGTCATTTATTGTTTTAAGTTTAAAGTCAGTGTGAAGTGTATGATTTGACACATAGGGTGGAGCATTTATCAGTTTTCTGATCGCTATGTTTTGAAAGGTTCGGATTTTTAAGATGTTCGTCTTTTTTGCATTGCACCAAAGCTGAAGTCCATAGGTCCATAGTGGTCCACATTAATCCTTGATCTAGAGTAAGGCCGCAATATTTAATTTTTGGAGAATAGGGAATTGGAATACCGTAAAGGACAACACCAGGGCAAGGAGTATGTCTGAGGGTAAATGTTTGTTGAACAGATTTATTCTGGTTAACTTTAAATCACCATTTTGTATATCATTTGTCCATAGCGTTAAGGTGAGTTTGTAGATTTATTGCTGCTATGATTGGATCTTTATTAATGGATATTAGCCCTTTGTCATCAGTGTAGTCAGCTACTAATGTGTTGGGGTAGTAGGTTGGTCAGAAGCAAATATATTAAAGAGTATTGGAGATAAGATGCCACCTTGAGGCACACCAGCATTTATAGGAGCTATTTCAGAAAGAGCGGTTCTGTAGCGAACTTGAAAATGTTGATCCGTTAGATAAGATTTGATGAGCAAGTAGTAAGTGGGTGGAAAGAATTGCTTAGGTTAATATAAAAGGCCATTGTGCCATACTCTATCGAAGGCTTGTGCAATGTCTAGGAACACAATTGCAATAAAGTTTTTTTTCCAGGGAATATGATTTGGCATCTACAACTCTGTGAGCTGGGTGTATGGTTGAGTGAGAAGCCCGAAATCCGAATTGGGTTTTTGGAAGAATATTCCTTTCAGTAATGATGGGCAGGATACGTTTCAGAATTAATCGTTCAAGGATTTTAGCGAAAAATGGAAGAAGGCTGATTGGTCGATGAGATGATGGAATGTCTGGTGGTTTATTAGGTTTAGGAAACAAGATTATAGTGGAGAATTTCCAAAGTAGAGGAAAATAAGAAAGTCTAATTAAAGCATTAAATATATGTGAGTGATGTGGTCAATAACTCTAGTTGGAAGGGATCTGGCTACTTCATAGTAAGTATTATGTGGATTAATTGTTTGAAAAAACAGAAATATATAAAACTTTACAGAAGATTCACTGTACATTGTATTTAAAGGTCAAAAAAAATGTAGAGTGTAATGTAGTAATTGATTTGTTTTACTGCTCAGAATAGTATTTTATTGCTATCAGATGTAAATTAAATAAATGTATGTATCATACCTTCTCAACTTACCATCTAAAAAATTGGTGCACCCATCAGCAGTATCAATGTTTTTTTTATAAATTAGGAGCATATTGAGGGCTCTATTGGTTTTTTTATTATGATATATGATTTTTTTTAACTGTGTGTACAAAATAAGTTTCTAATATGATGAAAAATATATGGAATATTAATAAATATTTCTTAAATTTGAATTGATACCAAATGTATAAGATAATTAAGGGGTATGTCATGGGCATTAATTAACTAATACATCTATAATTTTGGCTAAAACTTAATATCTTTTTGGTCTTAATATAGTTGTGGCACACCCTTTATATATAAAAAAATGTGTATTTTTGATATCTGGGTAATCTCAGAAACTACTCATCCAATAATTATAGGTTTTTTTTTTAAAATGATTGAGTATATGGTGGACAATGTTTAAAGCTATTGAAATCCACAATTTGTCCAGTAGATCTAATCTCCAATAGTTTGAGTAGTTTGAGTGGGATACATAATGTATAGGTATTTTTCATTGCTTAGCAACCATATAACTAATATAAATATATAAGTTTGAAAAGAAAATGCATTTTAAAAAGTTAAGGACAAAAATAGTTTACTGCAGTGATAGTAATGGGTATTGAAACAGAAACGTTTTTCTTTAAACAGTTATTCAATTTTTCTTTTTTTTAAATAACAAAATGTTTTATAATTACATTACAATTGATTTACAGTGTTACCTGAAATGCCATTGCCTTCACCTATGCCTCAAACATTAGGTAATAAATCCTTGTTATTTCATCCCCGTGTTGCTGAAGAAGCAGATATTTTACTTAGCCTCCGTGATGATGCTTTGGTACCACAACTTATTCAGTCATTAATAAACACCTCATCAGACCACATGTAAGTTTTACATGTCTTATAGAAAACAATGATGAATATTAAACTATAATAATGTTTTAAATTGTATAGACAACTGCAAGATAAATATGCGCATACTGAAAATTACAATAATCAACAAGATATACCTGAACTTCTTAAAGCTATATTACAACAAAATGCAAATGTATTTAGTGGGCCACCGCCAACATTACCACAGCAAACATTTCAATCACAAGGTAAGCATTCATTAATTTGTTAAAAGAAATTTTAAATTGTATATATCATCAAATTTAGCATTTTTAATATATATATATATACATATACATCCATATATACACAAATAAAAATTTGTAAAAAATTATAAAATCATAAAAATATTTAATAATTGTATACTTCAGGCCTATATTGAGATTATTTCTAATGAATAGTTTGTCAACTATTTTTGATAACTGTTAAGTTTTTAAAAATAGTTAAATAAAACATATAGGTGTGAATATTTAATGTTTGAGAAATAGAAAAATAGTAAAGAAACTTTTTAGTATTTTATTGAAAAATTAATAGTTGTAATATTAATTTTTTTTAATAGAATCCATTGGTATCATGTGTTCTATAGGTTAGTGATGGGAATTCCAAAATCCAGATTTTTCTAAAAAACACTATTTAAAAAAATCCCTTGATAATCGTATAAATATTAAATATTATTACAATATAAAGCTGGGTACCTAAGTTAAATGTTTAGACAAAAATTCTAAAAAAATCTTTTGGATCTGGATTTTCCGATTTCAAAAAATCTGAAATCCAAAAGCACTTTAATTTTTTGGTATTATGTTTTATTTTTACATTTTCATTAAAAAATATTTTACTTAGGTAGACAACTTTATACTGTAAAAATATTTAACACTTGTATGGCTTTAAATTGCCTTTTTTTTGTGAAAATCCGAATTTTTGGATTCCCAAAACTAGTATGCGTAGTTAGTACCCAATTATTTTTAAAAATTAAATTAATTTATATTCATACAATATGCTTTTATTTTGTTCTAATAAAATATAACTAGTGGTAGGTGCATTGGAGCACTGAGTCATTTTCTGTTAGTTGCCATTCAATTGCTGCTCTTACATTTGTAAATTTTCGCATCCAAATCATGGGAGTCTTCCTCTTTTATATCTCATTAACCAGTTTTTATAAACTAGATGCATGTAAACCAATATTGGGATCACAAAAAATGTATTAAAATATCAATTTAATTTATCCATGTAACTCATGTGTTATGTGTTAAATGCTATTTTTCTGAAAACTTTTTTTTTTAGTAAAATCAAAGTCTCGTGTTTTTTCTATAATCTACCGTTAAATTTGGTGTATGTAGATAAATTAAGACAAATAACACAAATGTTAGGTTTACTGCTATTAACAATGTGACCTAAGTGATTTCTCTTAACTGTGTTAGTTTAAAATGGTGTCAAAAACTAACCTAAATATATTTCTTAGGACTATATTTTAGATATATGTATTTAAAATTTTTTTAGAAAAGGAAAAAATCGTTGAAAATAAAAATGAACATGAACTTAGTGTAATTAATAGTATTGAAAGTGCATTAATTGAAGAACATCATCATATGGCCCAAAATGAACTATTACAGCAATCGGAGATATTAAATGAAATTCCACCTCAACACCAGCCTGTCATAGTTCAAACGCCATCTACAAAATTATCTGCAATTTTATTAGAAGAAAATGGTAAATATATAATGTATAATAGAAGTATACTTCTATTAATTTTTTTTGTTTATTGTGTTTAATTTATACAGATACAATTTTGCATGATGTCCAAGAAATAACAGAAAATGATAAAATTAATGTTCAAAATTTAGAACATGAATTTTCTCAAATAACTAATAATTATGACGTGTTTTTAAATAATGAACCCTCTATTTCATTGTCATCACAGATTGACATTAGCGAACATGGTATTAATGACATATTTTAAATTTAAATACATAGAAATTAACTTTTGTTTATTTCAGTTATGAACAAAGCAGCAAATTTAATTAATATGGGAGAAGAACTAACCGAAGATAATAATTTTGGATTAGCTCTTGCAGAAAGACCTTCTGTTATAAATCAAGGTTAGTTTTTTTTTTAAATATTACATTTAAAACTAGGTATCTATAATTTAAGAAATTTGCTTAAATAATACTACTGTTTTTATGGCAAGAGCATATTTGTAAAAATATGTTTTATTTGATTACCTGTTATTGATATTATTTATAGAAGAGGGAATTATTAACAACAATATATTCATATAATATTTATTTATTTTTTTTAATGCCTTTAACTGTTTATTGATATATCTATCCTAGACACCATTAATGAAAAACTTAAATAGAATCTGCTTATTAAATAAAAAAAAATTGCATAACTATATTCAATTTCCTTATTATAGTATAATATATTATGATTATTATTGCATTTCTTAAAAATGCATAATGCCAAATTCATGTAAACATGATATGACTATTTCAGTTTGATATTTATAAATAACTATTAGATAAAATACAAATAATAAACTGAATAAATATTATACAAAATAAATAGGTTATGAAAAAAAATCACAAGGTGGTTTTTTTTTTTTTGAAAAACATATTAACTGCAACCATATACATGGATGAAGGATAAATAGTTATTAATAATTTTATTTTTACATGATTTATTTTATTTATATGAGAATTTTGTTTGCTATTATTGATTAATTATTGATGCTTATAGTTTAATGACTAAAACTAATTAAAATTCCCATTTTTAGATTTAAAAGAATATTCATTTTATGAAAATTATTTGTTTGTGGTTATTTTTATTGTTTTTCAAATACCCATTTTTTTATGTTATATTCAACCGGTTTAATTTTATTTGGACATTTCTACTTAATAAAATGAGTATCTAAATTTAAAATAAATTTCTTACATTATAGTTTACATTTAAATGACAATGACAAATTGTTGGCTATAATTAATTTCATTGACATGCCAATGTCTTATTTGTAAGCACATCTCCACATATAACTAATTGTCAAAGTAACACTAGTTTTCTCTCATTGAAATTGGTATTATCATTATATAAGGGTGATATATATATCATACAATTCATTACTAACTCAAAACAACAAGAATTGTTCTATTCCACTTAAATTAATTAATTAATCTATTTTGGTGATTAGTTTAAATATGCACTGTTAATATTTAGATTCAATTTCATCTATTATCTGGGCTTTTGTTTAAAATTAATAATATTACTGTTTATTTATGTGTTTGATTTGTAGACAAAGGTGGTTATCAAACACAAGTAGAAAATGAAATTTCAGATTCAAATGATTTTGGAGTTTCATTGACTGAACGAATTAAAAAAAGAAAAAGAGCTGCCCAACCACCAGAAGTCAATAACACAAATAATATTGATGAAAGTAATTACAATTATTTAAATTCTATATTTTTTTTAATAAATTCTTATAGTTAGATAAGTAAAATTGAGTTTTCTTTAACATTTTTTTTTTTTTTTTTTATTTACAATAAACCAAAAGAAAATTAATAATTTTATCCAAAATATTTTAGATGAATGTATAATAAAACCCAAAGTAAGAAGAGTTGAAAGAAAACTTGTACCTGTAATAGAAAAATTATCCATTGAAGAACTGATGGAAACTAATACATATCAAAAATTTAATAAATGTATAGAAAAAGTATTTGAAAGTACTGAAGAAGGCGATATGCTCGCAGAATTTGGTATTTATAATTATTATTATTTAAGATTACAACTATTTAGTATCAGAAATAATTTGTTTTTTTAATTTTTATAGGTGATGAAGATGTCCCGCCAGAAGCGCTAATACCAAAATATGTATTACAAGAATTATGTAGTGAATCTGCTAAACTTAAAACACTAGGTGCTATGGATTCAATTCCATCAAATAAAATAATTCGCCTACTGAGTATTCTTGAAAAAAATATTAGAGATGGTGCCAAAGTTTCACCCATAGCTGATCCAGTAAGCTTGAATCTAATATATATAATTATGGTTCAATGTGTATATTTGTAATAAATTTAATAGGAAGATGATGAATGTGAAAGAAAATTATGGATGGAGTTGGCCATGGAAAGAGTTATGCGTGCGGTTGATGCATCTCTCACTACTCTTTATGTTTTAACATCACCTAAAATGCAGAAAAAAGTTTATTTGGAAGATGTTATTGATAGAGTAGTTATGTTCACAAAATATCAACTACACAATACAATTTATCCAGCTTTTGACCCTGTTTACAGGTATGTTATATTTTACTAATTATAATCAAATTTCCCAATTTTAATATTTACAAAAACAAAATTCTCCTAAGCAATTTTTTTTTTCAACTTTTACATCATTATACATAGATACTTGTTTTACATATGATAATTATTTTCAGTTTTAATTGACAATTTGTATTTATTTATTTACGAAACTAATATTGTCAGATGCTATATGAAAATATATTCAACAGATAATTTATATGCTACAGTGGTTTTCTTTATTTTCGATTTTGATTTTTTATTGTAATACATGTAAAAATAATTGTGTAACTAAAATGTTAATAGAATTATATTAGCCATTTGTATTAAAATTTTCTAAACATTTTTAAACTAAAAACAAATTTCATTATGATTTGATGAGTAATTATCGACTATGTTTGCTACAAAAAATTTAATTAAAGTTACTTTAGACATTCTAAAATTATGCTGGAATACACATTAGTGTGTTAAACAATTGAACATTCAATGCATCCATGAATAGATTTTCAAAAGTACTTATCAGAATTTTGTTTTGTAATAGGATTCAAAAGAGTCATGATTCATATACAGGAAGTGCTCGTAAAAAACGTGCACATCCAAAAGAAGTTCGTGATAAAAATGTATTATCATTATATACAAAGATATCAGAAGTAGTTTCACTTTTAGCTGAGCTATTAGAAATGCAAACTCTTACTGATACAGCTGTTCTTCATACTTCATCAATGGCTGTATCACCATTTTTTGTGGAAGAAATCAGTGAACTGCAACTTTCTGCATTAAAACTTGTTACAACGGTAAACTATTCTAAAGAAATCACTTGTTATAGTTAATTAAAAATAATTGTATGATATTTTCCATTAAAATTACACATCTACTTAATGGTGTTCAAATTCGCCTTTAAAAAGTAAAATATATATTTTTGTATTTAAAAAAAAATTTAAAAAATTATATTTAAATAGATATTCACAAAATATGACAAACACCGGAAACTACTACTTGATGATATACTTGCTTCTATGGCACGATTACCAAGTTCAAAGCGAAGTTTGAAATCTTTTAGAATTAGTTCTCAAGAATACATTCAAATGTTATCAGCTCTTGTATTGCAACTAATACAGTGTATGGTTGTACTTCCAGCAAATTTGGTGGAAAAATCAATGAATGTATGATACTAAGAATATTTTATTAATAAATTAATATTAATTAATAATTATTAAAATGTAATTTTATATCATTTTTATTTTAAGCTTGATCCTGATACATTAGTAATCAGTAAATTTAAGGCAGCTCGATCCACTGCATCAAGTTTTTTACATGTATTTTTATCAAAATGTAGCAGTAAAAGTGAAGAAATTGATTATCGTCCAATATTTGAAAACTTTATCCAAGATCTGTTGACTACTGTGAATAAACCTGAATGGCCTGCGTCTGAACTTATGCTTAGTGTACTTGGAAGATTATTAGTTGCCAATTTTGTTAACAAAAATTTGGAAATGTCACTTAGAGTAGCTTCTTTAGACTATCTTGGTGTAGTAGCAGCTAGACTTAGAAAGGATTCTGTTACCTCTCAATTAAGATTAAAAACCATAGATGCCATAATTTTGGACATACGAACAGAAGAGTTGAAAGAAGAGGATGGAAGTTTAACTGTATGTATTATTTTTAGTTAGATAATCTGGGTAATTTTTATTTTTGTGTATTTTGTATATTAAATATTATTTATCAGTTTTTAAATATTATTTATCGGTTTTTAGGAAGAAGTTCCAGAGGTTCAAGATGATGAAGAAAGAACTGAATTTTTACAAAGAGTTCTTTTAGATTATTTAGCAATTAAAAGTCTAACTGAGCCAGCTTTAAGGCATGCGCGTCATTTCTATTTGGCCCAATGGTATCAAGATAACAATGATGCTATTAAAACATCAGATTCACTATCAAAGAGAAAAAAAGCAAACAATACTCGGAAAAAATATGGTTTGTTTTAATATCTGTAACAATTACTTCATAATATTTAGTTCAACCTGATTATTTAATTATACTCAAGGTTCAGATGATGAAGATGATGGTGAGAGTAGCGATTCTGGTAAAGAAAATGAATCTCGAATAGATGAAAATAAAGCAGTAGTAAATGCACGGGTTTGTGAGCAAAGAAAAGAATATTTACTGACTAAAATTAATCCTTATAATAATGAAACTTCACAAGTTATGCAAACATATGTTGATTATGATAGTGCTGAATTAGTCGCAAGATATTTAGCATCCAAGAGACCATTTTCACAGAGTTTTGATACTTACCTTAAACATGTAAGGAACTGATTGTACTGCAAATGTATTGTTATTATTGGTATAATTAATGTATACTTTCTTTATAATTTTAGATAATTAAAGTGTTGACGGAAACATCTGTAAACATAAGAACAAAAGCTATGAAATGTTTGACAATGATTGTTGAAGTTGACCCTGGTGTTTTGGGATTGAAAGAAATGCAGTTGGGTGTAAGTCATTCTTTCTTGGATCATTCAACATCAGTTCGAGAAGCAGCTGTTGATTTAGTTGGAAAATTTGTATTAAGTCGTCCAGAATTAATTGATAAGTATTATGATTTGCTATCTGCTCGAATATTGGATACAGGTGTCAGTGTACGCAAACGAGTGATAAAAATAATGAAAGATATATGTATTGAGTGTCCAGATTACCCTAAAATACCAGAGATATGTGTAAAAATGATTCGGCGTGTTAATGACGAAGATGGTATTAGAAAATTAGTCATGGAAGTGTTTCAAAACATGTGGTTTACTCCAGTAAGCGAAAAACCATCACTCGATTCAAAAATGTTATTAAGAAAAGTTTTAAATATTACGGATGTTGTGGCAGCATCAGAAGAATTAGGCCTAGAATGGTTTGAACAATTGTTATTAAGTTTGTTTAAACCCAAAGAAGATAAAGATGACACAGCAAGAGTGTCTACTGAACCTCCAAAAGCTCTACTTACAGCCTGTAAGCAAATTGTCGACTGTTTAGTTGAAAATGTTGTTACACTAGATGGTGGTGGTGGAGGTACATCACGACAGCTCGTAGCTTGCCTTACTACATTGTACTTGTTTGCTAAGATACGTCCTCAACTACTAGCTAGACATTCTCTTACTCTACAGCCTTATTTGAGTTTAAAATGTCAGGTAATATTTTTTAAATTGTTGGAATATAGATCAATTGATCTTTTAATCTATTGAATGCTGTTTTATCTTTATATCTATATTAATTTATTTTTATTTTCAGACACAAGGGGATAAACAAATTATTAGTTGTGTTGCACGTACACTTGAACTTGTTGTTCCATTAATAGAACATCCCAGTGAGATATTTTTATCACAACTAGAAGAAGATGCAGTAAAACTTATTATGAAGCATGACCAAACTGTAATTTTAAGCTGCATTTCATGTCTTGGGTCTGTGGTGAATAATGTAACAAAAAACTTTAAATTAATAAGGGATTGTTTTGCAATATATTATAGTAAGTTCTTATTCTCATTTGTTTTTTCAAGTTAATTATTTTAATTTAAAAAAGCTAAGGAAACAGATTGATATGATTTTGTATTATAATAATATATTTTTTGGTAATAAATTCATTAAATTGGTACTCTTTAGTTTTTTTTTATTAGGTTTTAGATTTGCTACTGTAGAATTAAATTTACTCAAATACATTTATTTAATTATATTTTTTATGTTAGATTTGAAATATTTTTCTCATTACTCCAAGTTTTCAAATTGAATAATTTTGTATTGATTTAACAAGATGTCTAGTATAGTATTATATTCATCTTGTTATTGATAAATTCATTTAATGTAAATATATTTTGTTAGATAAAAAAAATTCAACTGAATAATCTGCTATGCAAAATATAAATTCACTCATTTTCAATTTTACCAAGTTTATCACTAAGTAATATATTTCATTTATTCTAGAGTACTTAACTAACTTTCAAAAGTTACATCAAGATAGACAGGCCAATCCTCAAGCTCTGATACCTCTACGGCCTGTTTTTCGTCGTTCAATCTATATCATTGGATTAATGTTAAGGTTTTTCGATTTTACTGACAAAGAAGTTTATGGTGACACATATCCAGTAAGTTGCATGCAATACACTAAACAAACTATTAAAATTTGTAAATAAAATTCTTCATGTTTATAGGAAAATATTAGAGATTTAGTGTATGATACTATGTCATACTTTATGCGTGCAGATGAAGATGATACCAGATTGTTTGCATTAAAAGCAATTGGATCCATATGCATACGACATTATGATTTTATGTTATGTCAGGATCTAATGAACATGTATCTTGATATTTTGTCAGATAATAGTGTAGCAAACTTAATGAAATCTCAAGTATGTGAAACTTGGCTGCTTGTGCATTAATTGTCTATTAAAAACTTCAGTCTGATATTTAAATATCTAAATTTTTTGTTTAGATTTTAACTAACATTGAAGTATACTTGGAGGAAGAAGAAAAAAGAATGATAAAACAGGATTTAGAATGTATGATTAAAAAACATTTATTCAATTAATTTTAATGAAATGTAATTATATAAAGTTATAATTATGCATTTTCAGGGTCAAAAATGTCAAAAAAGGAAAATTTGAAAGAAATGGGCGATGTTTCTTCTGGCATGGCTAGTACAGTTATTCAGTTATATTTAAAAGGAATATTAAATTCATTTTTACATACAAGTGTTGAAGTTCGGCAATCTGTACTCAAAGTAATACAATTAATTTTAGCTCAAGGACTTGTGCATCCTGTTCAGGTATTGTAATTATTATAATATTGTATTGGGCTAATGCCCAGTATGTTAAATCAAATAAAATCATGACTCCTAGTAAATTTATATATTGTGTTTTGTGTATAGATTGTGCCTTATCTAATATGTATGAGTACGGATACTGAGAAATCAGTCAGTGGTCGTGCTGACAAGCATTTGCAAGAGATAGAGAAAAAATATCCAGGTTTTATACATATGGGTGCACAAAATGGTATCAAATTGTCTTTTCAACTGCAAAGTATTGTTCAACCTGAAGGTGAACTGGTCCGTGGATATCGTATAAAAGATACAGATATTATTCCAAGTGCTTTAAATGGATGTCTTTATTCTATACTCAGAACCAAACAACAACGAAGAGCACTAGTGTTATCGATTTTAAAACAATTTGAGGATACAGGAGTTAGTTGACAGTTTATTTTATAAAAATATAACATTTTAAGTTTTCATGTATCCTTTAATGAATTGTTTTAAATTTTTTTTTTTATAGAAAACAAATTTAGCTCAGATGTTATACTTGGCAGATAACTTGGCATATTTTCCATTTCAATCACAAGATGAGCCTTTATTTATTATACATCATATCAATACAATGATATCAGTTAATGGGACTAATTTGCTTCAAAATTTTAGAGAGGTTACTAAATAATAATAAATCTCATTACTTCTATTTTTATGTGTTTTTAATTTTGCTTTAGTAAAATAACAGTTAATTGTTTGTACTCAAATATAATTGTATTCCTATCCTTAGGGTCTACTTCCAAATCCAAATACTCCATTGCAGTCTAGTAACAAAATAGATGGAGTTGTTGAAGACGAAGAAGATGAAGATGAAGAAACACTTATAGAAAGAGTACCCGATGATATAACAGCTCTTCAAGAAGTTATTATAAAGTCCCAAGGTTGCCTTCTACTTTTAGTTCTCAAATTATATCTAAAAACTGTTTATGGAATAACAGATTTGTATGTGTTTATTTTTGGTTTCTTTAGAAATAATCATGCTCGGTTTTAATAATTTCAATTTTAATTCATTTGTAGAAAAATAACTCAATATTCACCATCAGAATCTAGTAAAATGTATGACAAAAATTTAAGTAGAAAATCAAATTCAAAATTTAATCCTAAAGCTACTATTGAAAAACTCAAATATGGATTGGAAATCAATACTGAAGATTTACAAAAAGCTAAACAAGACTTAATTAATTATTATTTAGAAGTATGTGTTAATCTAAAACTAATTTATAAAATGTCTTACCAATCATTCATATCTTCTTTTTTTATCAAAATTTTACAGTATTTCTTCATCTTGTAATCATTTCTAGTACATCTTACTTATATAATTTTTGTCAATATGTTAGAGGGCAGTGTTTTCATATGAGTAGTGTATTGGTAGATTATAATAGGTCCTGTTCACAGCTCTGTTTTATTAAAAGACCATACAACAAAAAGTCAATACTTCTTCTTTTATCACAATAATAAATAGAATACATTCTAACTTGCATAATGATAATCATTTCTAGTACATCTTACTGATATAATTTTTGTCAATATGTTAGAGGGTAGTGTTTTCATATGAGTAGTGTATTGGTAGATTATAATAGGTCCTGTTCGCAGCCCTATTTTGTTAAAGGACCATCCAACTCAAAAAATCAATAATTCTTTTATCGCCATAATAAATAGAATACAGTCCAACTTGCATAATGATACAACTAAAATCCGTGAATCCTTGACATTAATCCATGCCGAATATTAAAAATCACAAACAAAATTTAGTGGTATAATTGTTATCCGCATAGAATGTAATAAAGTAGTAAGTGGGAGTAACATAGTAGTAACCAAAGAAAATTGTTTGAGTTGGATGGTACTTTAAAAGACTTATTTTCTATTTATTTTTCTACTTTTTGTGCTTGTCTTAAGCATGTGTTGTGTGTAGTTAAAATTTATTTCTTAGTTATGAATTTTAAATACCTGAATACATCTAGTGTAGACGAGTTTCATAGAGATCAGCTGAAAGTGTTGTTTTTCACTGTATTATACACTTTCGGTTATCTTCATTATAAGTAACAGAATTTTTATATTTGAATATATAACAGTTGCAATTAGTTTTTCACCTTTTTGGTTTAACAATTAATAATATATATTATGTTCTCTTTTTTAGTTGAAACATCTGATTATTAATCTTGATCCTGATGACGAAGGAAATGAAGATATGGTAGTAACTCCTAAAACTCCAAAGACTGTCCCATCAACACCAATTAATCATATAATTAACTCTTCTCCTCAAATTTCAACAACTCCTAATCATGTTGATTCATCAAATGTGTCATATGAATCGCCAGAATATCAAACACAAGTAAGTAATATTTAAAAATTACTGAATTTGTATTAGACAGTAGTTTGGCAACTGATGAAAGATTTGTGGGCAAATACAATTATTTAGTAACCACATTACTGCAGAGAGCTTTCAAAATTAAAGATCACTATTTCATTATATGATTATTTTTACATTAATGAAATTTAAGTTTACTGTTTTATTAATATTAATTAATATTTTGTTTTAATTTAAACTTTGTTATTAGAACAATGTACAATCAACACCAAAGGTTCCTAAAGTGACAATTATACCCCCAAAACCTCCATCATTAAAACCCTCACAACCTCAATATCGATCCCATAAATCAAAAAAAGTTGATCGCCCAAAAAAACCTAATCATAAACGGAAGAAAAACAAAGACGATAGTTCTGAAGACAGTGATAATGTCTACAGTGATCCAGATTTCTTAGTATAAACAGGTCTTTGTAATAGTTTATGTATGCTGTAAATACATTTGTTGTAAAATTTTGTTTGTTAAAAGATGAATTATTTATTTTTATGGATAATATTAATATAAGGTATATTAATATTAGATTTTAAGTGCTCAATTGACCATTCTTCTTATGCCTTGTGCACTCATTATTTAAGTATTTTCAATATGAGCACATATTGTGAGGTCTGAAACTTAAAAATATAATTTAGTCTATTATAATTTTTATTTTATTGAATAATATTTTTCAATTTTGACAGTTGTAGTTTTTTTTTCTTGATTTCAGTTTTTAACAAGAATGTTACATTCATTTCTATAACAATATTCAAGGTGTCCTACTGTGATCTACAGATGTTTATACCTATTCATATTTTAAATCAATTTTTTTTTAAAAAAAAAATGTTTCAATCAAATTTTCCTATTAGGAGGCTTATAGAGAAAACTAAATTTTTATTTTTACCCCCACTCACTTATAAAATTTAATATTATCAGAGATAAGTGTAGAATACCAGTAGGACACTGTATAACGCATAATAAAATTAATTTTCTTATTATTGTACTTTAAAAAAAGTAGTTTGTTACAAATATGCATGATCAAATGATTTTTTTTTAAAACATAGTATAATTTTATAAAAAAAAAAAAAAATAAAAATAAAAAAAAAAAAACAAGTACACAATTAATCAGTTATAAATTAAATAATTAATCAACTCTATTTTAAAACAGATTAATATGGCAAATGTAAACAAAGTTCTTGTTTTGTTGAATAAACATTCCTTATTGTTATCTTTTATTAAACACAATTTTTCTTTACATCAAATGTATAAAAAAAATTATTTGATAAATTAAATGAATTTGTATAAATAAATTTTATTAGACATAATAACATTTACTGAACAAAAATTTAATATGAATTTATTATCCATTAACATATAAAGGTGATGCCATATTATATTTCATTATTTTCACAATAGGAAAGTATAGTATATTTTTAAATATTTCTTAAAAATTGTGTTGTTGATAGCAATAATATTGCGTGCGTATGTGATCAAATTATAGCTAGTAATTATATATTATTATATTATTATTAATTAACTTTTTTACGCTTTTTTTTTATTGTGGAGACAATTATAGGCTCTACTGTATATTATGATGTATACATATATATATGTGTGTACTTAAGTACACATATATGTATATATTATATATATATATGAAAAGAATTTAATAATATTTCAAAAACTTTATTAATAATGTTTATATAATGCTACACATTTATTGTCTCTATCTTACAAGCACATCTATACAGCAAAGCATTTAGTAGAATCAATTGTGTGTTGTTTTAATGTCATGAATGAATTTAGTTAGTATATTCAGACTTGCTGGTAAGAATACGTAACAAATACGTGTTCATAGGTTTTTTTGATATTTTCATTTTTAAGTAAGACATGTATAAAATATATTATAATTTATAAGTGCTTTTATTACTTAAATATGAAAATATCAAAAAGCAATATTGAGCAATATTTTTGCCTTTAAGTTTAATTGCAGCTCAATTCAATCTAATATTAATACTAACAGCACACAATTGGCCCTCCTGAATACCATTTTGATATGCAATGAATTTGTAAGGTGGAGATGATAAATGCATGTGTATGTATACCCCTTAAAAGGCATTATATCAATGAGTGACATATAAGTTGACAATTACCAAAATCACATATCTGGTTTCCTGTCTAGATTAGTTCATTATTTTTTTATCTTTATTACTAGTTATTCAATGCATATTTTATTAGAAATTAAAATAACTAAATAAACCAATACATTCTGAATGGATCAAAGTAATAACTAGGTATATACAACAGATTGCTTTATTTTAAAATATTATATAAATGATTATAGTTTAATGTATTCAAATTACACAATAAAGTACACATTTTTTTTTTTTTTTAGTATGTCCTCTTTTTGATATGATGTCTGTTAAAATTCCCTACTCACCTTTAAATTATAATATTTTCATATTATAGTTAATATTATGTGATAAATATCTATAATTTTTTTAAACACATTCCTTTTGACAATCGAATTGAATTACTCGAATGTCAAAGATTTTAGTTATACAAATCGCTTAAATTTTATAATTAATTATTTATTTTTCATCTCCATTTCATAATATAACTAATGTACAGAACGTGAATGTATTCTTTCATAGTTCATTTAATTTGTAAATAACTAAGATCTATTTAACTAATTAACAGTTTATAAAAATCATTAGGTTAATTTGTAATAAATTAAAACTTGTACCTTTATTTAAATAGTACAGGTTAGGGTTTATAGATTGTCCCTCTACAATTAATACCCAATTATTTTTAATAATTAATATTTTTTTTATTATACCCGATTAAAGAAATGTTGAGCATCACCTTTATTTATTTTTTTTTATTGCTTATTACTTTCTGGCTCTTCAAAAACCATAACACCAAAACTTTTACTTTGTTATAAATTACTTAATTACATTTCTGCTTTTATATTTTTTAAATGTATATCAGGACAAGCAATTGTATTATAACTATTAAATAATTATAAGTCATATAGTACAACAATAATAAATATATTAGGTGATATTTCTTTGTTTATATAGTGTTGATTTTTACACCATTGTTCAGTTTAATTGATTTAGATTTATGAATAGTAAATACAATATCATGTAATATTGTATGTCATTTTTTTAACCAATAAAAAAATGCATTCATTCGCACATTGTTTTATTAAACTGATAAGCACTGAAATCGAAATATATAAGGCCAATGTAGTTCTTACTTGTTATAATGTATAAATTATTATGTTATTATAATATTATTTATATATATATATACAAAAAAAAAAGAATTGTAATATTATTATGAAATCTAAATTTGACTACCTATTTTTTTAGCAATAATAATTTTTTGTAATACTGTAATTGATGTAGGTCTATTATTTTATATAATTAACTGTACAGTGTACTTTTATCACCGAAAGAAAATAAATTATTATATTTTAATATTTAAATTTAGTAATTTATTGTGTATGTGTCAGAAAAATTTTTTTTGACAAAAACAAAAAATGATTATCACAATAGTAACTATTGATTTTATTTGTGGAATTAATATGTGTGACATATTTATTACTTATACTGTATTTTATAAGAATATAGTCATTCTAAGGGGTAAATTAATAGAAAACTAATAGCTATGCTACTCTATGAGTAATTTTTTTCTAAAAAAATATAATTTTCTTGCTTTTCACATATAATCACACTAATGTAATAATTATGTTGTCAGCTATATTGAATTTGAATGTATATAGTGATTAGCTAACTGATTACTTAAATTTCTTAAAATATTTATTTGATATTTTTTAACCAATTCTAATAAACTATTGACTTTGACCTGTAGATGATATGCTGGCTAATGAAATGAGGCGCGCTTCATTAGACCAAATTAAATTAAATTGATTTATAATATTAAATATTTTGTAATTTAGATTTTCTTTCTATGGACTTGTCTAATCAGGTAAATAATCAAAATTAACTACTTTCTAATTTTATTTATTCTATAATTAAAAAAACTACCTATGTTATCAGTTATAGTGTCTATTTTGTAAGAAATGTTAGTTTCATTTCCTATTTATTTTCAATATCATTTATTCGGTTAGTTTAATATTCAGTAGCAAGTGCAATGTCGACACAATAATTGTTTACAACCATTTGTGTTAGTGTTTTGATGGGGAGAGGAGTACTTAATGCAAACAAACAATTCTCAGAATGTTCTCTGCTTTATATAATTTCTCTAGAATTCTAACGCTTATAAAATATAATTAACTATAGGTCGGCATTTATGTAAATATAATTCTACAAAAAAAATCCATTGTTCAGAATATTAAATTTCAATACATAGGCTGATATTGGATTAAAAAAAACAAAACCCAGACTGTGAATAGGGGTAATCTATCTAAAACGAAAAATAGGACGGACATACTTCGAAAATGGGTGCAGCCACTGTTGTAGGTAGAACGTGGGAAGTTGGGAAGGTAGAATACAGACGGAAATTTAATGTGTATCTGGAAGCAACTATAAACCATTGTTAACGAATAAACGATTCTGAGCGGAGTTCAGTTGATAGTGTTGCTTTGTCAACAATATATAGGTCATATAGTGACCCCGCTAGATCTTTAGGTGCACCCAAAATGCTTTTTCACTTTTCCCTAATACCTACCTGACGTGGTTTTGCACAACAAGTCGAGGTTTATTTTCGGTTCAAGTTGTCCGAGTGAATGCAGTGTAACACTTCGCGTTTGAACGTTTGTAACCCTAAAACTAAGCTAAATAATCTTATTCTGACCTCAATAAAATAAACTTTATTATCAAAATTTCAATAACTACAAATAATAATAACTAAAAAAAATATCTATTTTCGACCACATTTCGGATTAATTCCAAAAATGCTATTTTTCAAGGTTTATGAACAAAACTATAAAAGTAAGTATGATAGGCAAGTTTTGATTATACTAACGTATTAAGCATTAAAAAACAATTGTTTTGAAAAAAAAAAAATGAAAATTTTAAATTCTAACTAAGAAATACGCGAACCGAAAAATCTGAACTTTATGAGGTTTTTCCTCGTAACTTCAAAACGAAGTTCGGCAGACTTGATTTTTTTTTTTATATTCTTAATGTACACGTAAAACCACACATTAAAAAAACCCAAAATATCGCGTGGACGTTAAACTAGATTTGTTCTTTTTAACCTTCTAAACAATTATTACAACTTAAAAATTTTATAAATTATATTATTAACTTATTATTTATAAATATATAAATAGCTTGTTACTATTTACAAATAATAACTTTATTCTCAAACATTCAGTTAAGGAAATGAGAAAGTTATAAATTTATTTAGATCTTTAGATTTCAATTATTAATAAAAAAATACATTGTTTTCTTAAATTATTTTAGATTCCGAGTGAAGCGAAGAAGCTTATAGTATTACGAAAATGGTTTTTTTTTTATCCGCGCAATTTTTCCACTAGAAGACTAGTTCAGATTTTTAAGTGTAGCACCTTTTTTGAAAGGAGATCGGTGTGGCGAGGTACTTTAAGAAGATCATTTTTCGATTTTCTCATCCAACATGAAAAACCGACAAAAACAGAGAAAAAACGTAGGTAAACTGAGAAAATCGGTACAACATTAAACAAATATTATTAAAGGAAAAAAGTCTATTTAATTATTTTACTATAAAGTGGCATACATTGTTGATAAAGCATCACTATCAACTGAACTCCGTTCAGAATCGTTTTTTTCATAAGCAATGGTTTATATCGTTGATTACAGGTATACATTAAATTACCTATAACAGTGACTGCACCCGTCCCAATTATCCTAGAACGCCTTTTTTTTATTTAACATTGCTATTTTTAGAGATTTAGGAAAAAAATAAAATATATGAGTTATTAATATTTATAGCCTATAGCAAGTTATAATATATTTTGTTAAACGTGTATGATCATTATTATCGTTCATAATAAATTTGACAACAATAAAACGCACATGAATGTGTATAGTGTGTATTGTATATATTTCTAATTTGCCAATATTGTGAGGGTAGCATAATATGTTGGTTGTTGGATCGATTTTCTGTGGACCAAAATCGGGTCAAAATGTCGTTCCTTACATTTTAAGGAATCGATGTTTTCGGTAGTGGTTGGTGTTATGGGCGGCGGAAATGTGTTGGCCCGGGGTGCAATATTTTGCATTATTTGCAATAATAAATTTCACCTTGCCAACCATTTTATTATCTAAAATTTTTACTGCTAATATTTTATACTAATAAATATTGTTCCAGTACAAAAACGAGAAGAGATCTTTTTTGTTGAATTTTTAATTAACAATATCGGATTAGTGACCAAAAAAGTCGTCCAAATAAAAAAAAACAAATCACTTATTCATAAACTAGATTGAAAATGCAATAAAAAAGGTAATGCAATATATTATGATAGCACTAAAGGAAGTGATGGTATGAGTATAGAGCCAGTAGAGGTAACTCAAACGAGAATGTAAATGTCTCTCCTTTGGACATTGCCTTTAACTGTAAGTGGAAATGTTATTGGCGGTCGTGAATTTTGCAAACCACGAATTTGCCTACGAGGGGTACGAAATATGTTACCCAAAATAATAAACACTGCCAATATAAGAATTATATTTATTAACAGAACCATTTGGCTTACCTGTCGCGAACCATGACTCTCGTATTATGTTCTCTGCGGGCTATTGAATTAGATGCAAACGCCGCAGAGTTTCCAGATTGCAGAGGAAATAGAATTTAATTATATTAATAACGAAAAACAAGAACACACGTTTCGTGGTAAACGGTTATGAACACGACGCAGAAACAACTATACGGGGGGGGGGGAAATGATCGTACCAGCTACAAAAATGCCACCGGCCCGTGTCCGCGCTAATGTACAGGAACCATCCGCGATGCGTTTGTGCCGAGTTCCTTTGTTGTCTCTAGCCAGTCTAAATTAATTAAACCCATAATTATTTTTTAATGGGTACAACAGTTTAAGTGTTTTGTTATTCGCGTGTCTGTTCTAAAATATCTAGTGCACTAATATTATTGTACCGTGATACACGGGTATCACGGGACATATTTTAGGGAACATTCACTCCCGCTCCTTTAAAAAAGAAAAAATCTCCACAATCTTATTTTTTTTTAAGGGGATAAAATAAAATAGCGACAACACAAAAAGTACATCAATCGTTGTCATTTATTCGTTTCTGTTAATTATTCTGTTATTAAAACCCAGCCTTTGTGTTTTCGGTCACAACATCCGGAAAACCGATGGTTTTTTTTTTTTAGCGCGGCGCATCTTTGCAAATCGTTCGAACGTAGAAATATGAGCCATTCCGCGTATCGACTATTAATATAAATACAGTAAATAAATATGAAAATAAAAATAAATGAATGAACGCGTCGCCTGGAGCATTATGGTGAGTGTATTGTACGGCCGGTTTCGAATTAAAAATTCATCATCAGGTACATCACAGTCGAAATCTAAAAATGTTTGTAATGTTTTTTTTTCTAATTTACGTAATACGCTCATCACGGTACTCCAGGCGACGCATTCATTAATCAATCAATTTTTTTATTTTTATATTTATTTTACGATTATTATTAACCATTATTTTAATAATTTTGTTTTTACTTTATTGCTGTGTTATTTATTAATGTATATAGAATTTTAATTATTATTCAATTAATAATAATTTATTGATATAAAAATTTCGTATTAAAGTTATTGTGTACCTCCCATACTTCGCTACATCAGCTGAAAACGGGCGAAAATACGGTGTTATAGTAATTTCGCTTACCGATAATAACAGCTTTGGATTTTTTTTTTCTTTCGACAGTCGCAGAATGCACAATCTGGTTTCAAATGTTCTGCGGTACACTGCAGTGTACTGATACCTATACCGGGTGATCCATTTAAGTGGATACACTCGTCATTTCGGAAAGTATTAAATTTTTTCGCAATTTGTTATTTTTTTCAGAACATTTTAGAAACAACAAGCTCTACAATTTTTATACTAGTTATTTTTCGTCACCCTTATTTCCGGGGGTTATATCATTACATACTTTTGATTTTCAATTGGCGAACTATATTGAAAATTCCATAAATAGATGGAGTATTAGTTGAAATAAATTTGAGTGTCGAAATTTTTGATGTCAAGCCGTTGACGAGATATTCCACTTTTAAGTTTAAGTTGGAGGAGAGTAGTGGTGAATTAGTAATACATCGCGCACCACGCACCGCCACACAAATGACACTCCATTACTCTCCTCCGACCCAAGCTTAAAAGTGGAATATCTCAACAACGGATCAACGGAAATCAAAAATGTCAACACTAAAGTTTATTTTAACTAATACTCCGTTTATTTTTGGATTTTTTTAATGTGGGTTGCCATTTGAAAATCAAAAGTAGTGGTAGTGGTTTCACCCCCGAAAATAAGGGTGACGAAAAATAACAGGTATAACATTGTAGAGCAGTTTGTTTCTTAAATGTCCTAGAAAACAAATTCCGAAAAAAGTTAATACTTTCCGAGATAATGAGTGTGCCCACTTAAATGGACCATCTGGTACAACTGATAGTTACAATGTGATGTTGTAAATGTGTAAAGCGTATGAAACAACTTTAATTATTGTAAACTTCAATAGTTTAAAAGAAAAAAAATTGTTTTAACTTATTATTATTATCTATTTAATTGTTATCGATTAATTATTATTATCTAATTGTTATCGATTAATTAATTGTTAATATTGTTTGTATTAATAGTTGATACAGAATTACCCATATTCGATATTCAAACGATGTTCAAAGATGCAACACAAGCGGAATTATAGCCGAATCTTTCTTACCGTTTAGTTCATTAGCTATAGAAAAATGTCCCGAGAATAATAAAAAAAAAATGAATTTATCTGATACATAATGTATAATATGTAATAAATTGATCACAGCTTATGGCGCATGCACGTGCACGTTGAATTCACACGATATTCCCGATCGAATCGGTATATCCAATGATGAACTCGTCATTGTACGTGTATTGCCAGGACTTTAGATTCCAATAATCGAAAACCGATAACATTGTAGGCAAATGTTATGCAGTTCGTTATTTGTGCGTGCGAATTCCAACAGTTTCAAATCGCAAAAGTAAATCCCACATAGAATGTTGTACATGCGATGGTCCGTTTGAACCATTAGTTACCCCGAATTTCGTGTTCGTTTTCGGTTTGGTTAGGGGCCCACTGATAAAATACTTTTCGGACTTGGCACCCCGGGTACTCTTATAATTCGTATTATTCGTGATCTAGTCTCCGATTACCGCGCTGTCGGGGTTTTTTTTTTTTTTTTTTTTTTTAAATTTTACTCTTATTATCGTAACGTAGAATGGAAAGATCAACTGTTACAGAAATCGTGGTTTATTAGTTTATAATTTTACATCGAATATTCGTATCGCCCGTGTCCACGTAAATAGAACCTATGGATACCTGTGGATAAAATAACTGCGTAAAAGTGATAAAAAATCATTGAATCACTGCCATTATTGCCGGCCTTACTGCCGCCATGATTGTACTCTACGAAAGTTGTTGTCCGGACGGGCCCGGGTTAAAAGTTAGGCCCTCGCAAAATTCAATTCGCGAGTGGCCCCCGCGAAATTAGCGCATTCGCCATTCAGCAGCGATTTTCTTCGAAATGCATTAAATGCCTACGAATTTTAATTAAATTTTGTTATTTTTTTTTTTTTTTTTTTTTTTTTTTAAATCCAATTCGTCCGAAAATTAATATTCGAATATGTCCGAATCGATCGAATGGCCTCTCGCGTCAAATGGTCAGCAAACGAACCGGAAGACGCCGACGAATTAAATATGATCATTAAACAATAACGTACCGAGCAATTGTACATTAAACTAATCCACAACACGATTCGTTTTCGGTTCGTTGGTTTTAATTTCCTAAATAATCATACGGAATCGCCGTGCGCCCGGTATACGATCGCGGCTAGACGCGGGTTCTCCATAAACGCGAGGGGGTTTACACCGGCCGTTTTCAAGCCGGCCCGGACAACAGCGTAATACGGGTGCACACACTGGCCGTTTCAGCTTTGAAATTTATAATTTCATTTGAATGAGCTCGAGATCCCCTAACATTGCATTTGCTCGCAAACTGCCCGCGTGATGTATAATTAATAATTACTATAATTGTGTGTATTACGTCCGCGCCCATTTTTCGTGTTTACTCATCGTCTGTACTCGCATACGTGCCCATCTAATGAATTTCGCACACTGGGCCGAAAATAGCGTCAGCGTGCCCTTGTACGTTTCTATATGGACACCCGCGACGGCCTACACGATTGGCCGCCACGGATTCAGTCGATGACGAAAAAATGAAAAAAAAAAACTCGTATTTTAGATGCATATTGCCATTATTTTCTGATAGACTATAGACTATAAATATTGATTTCAATTCGATTTTCGTCTGTCACTCATTATATTATAATACATATTTTTAAAGACATTTTTTTAGTGTTTTTTTTAGTGAGTTTAACGCTGAAATTAGATTTTTTGGAAATTTTATTGTACGTGTTGGCGTAATTTTTTTTTTTTTTTTGTATGTTCTATAATAGAATATTGTTATTATTATTATCTAAACCTCGGAATAATATTGCTGTAGATTAACCAGACGAAGACAATCGTATAGTCAGTATAGTATACTTACTTATTTACCATATTATAATCGTTGTATAATTTTTTTTTTTTTTTCATAATTATTACCTATATTATAAAACATCGTGGAATATTGATTTGACAAGTTTTTAAAACCGGAACATGACTTTCTTGTGCTCTAAAGACAACCGAGTTTATATTACGCGCCGCTGCGCCGTTGGCGATTCTAGACACATTTCACGAGTTTTTTTTTTATATTTTCGTAAATAGCAATTTCTTAAGCCACTCCACTACTCTCTGCCGTTCATCGTGGCCGTTTACCAATTAGCTTTCGGTTTTGGTTTTTCGTATTGTCATGTTGCGCTTTACATTTCCACCACAATTTCGGCATCCTTAAAGGTACATTTCCCCGGGGAATACCTTCCCGTATGCTCGGTGAATTAGGTTGCTTGTTTTATACACTGTTGACTATCCTCACGTCATCCGCGATGCCCCGCAGACGCCACAGCCCGTTTCAATTTCTCCCTCGTTATTTCCTCTACAATACGTTTGGCCTAGGACGCAGACCGTTTCCCGGCGAATTTCCTCTTTTCCTCAATTCACGTAATTATTCTCCCGTTCCGTTGTTTTTGCGTTCGTCGACGAACGGACCTTCTCCCAAAAACACGTTCCTCAACAATGCCTCAAACGATTGACGTGGGTAGGTATAAATAATTGAAAAAAAAAAAAAAAAGAAACGCACACAATTCGTATTGGTATAATAATCGTTACGATATATATAATATTGTTTATTCGTATAATTTATTGATACAATGATAAATAATTATAATAATATTATTTAAAACACACGATTGGCACACTTATAAATGGAATGACTTTATTGTTCGTTATAAATTGTTACGTACACTATAATAGCTAAAATCTATCGAAATTCTATGGCGCGGGCGCGCACCTACATATAAACGACGTGACATTTATGCGTTTATCAGCCACGTGCATCTTGGTGCAATATTATAGCATATCGCATTGCCTATTATGCGCGCGCATAGCGATATAAATATAGAACGATAATTATTATTATATAAGTGTGTATACGCGTATAAGTGTAATATAGTGTGCTAAACGACGAAAACGAAAATTGCGACGTTATAAAATCGTTCTAAATCTACGCTCGTGCAATATGTGATTTAAAATAGCAAACGCTGCAATAAAATATTAATTACAAACCGTTCCGGAGACGGCGCGATAATATTACTGTAATGCGTTTCGGCCGGACGGCCGAACGGTTTTTTTCATTATTGTTATTATTATTTTTTGTTTTTCTATTTCCCGTAGATACACTCTGCGGGATATGTTTTTCGATAACTGCACACTCTAGAGAGCCGAGGGTGTGTATGTGTATGTGTGTGTGTGTGTGTGTGTGTGTGTGTGGAGGGGGGGGGGAGACGCGCAAATCTACTCGGGAAACGCGTGTACCGTTTATATTATACACCACCCACCTATTGCGCACACGCGATTTATACTCGAACAATACGGGCAATCACCGCAGTTTCGGCCGTTTTTACCGGCGGAAAAGAATTCGCGGAATTAAGGGGAAGTGGTCAGAGGTTCTTTTTTTATACACCGGCCGCGGTTAATACGGGCGGATGGGGTGGGGGAGGGGGCGATGAGTATTACTATTAAAAAAAAAAAAAATCTATTGAAAAGACTAATTTTTGTTAATTTTTTGATTTGTTGTTATTAACTATACAGGCGGTGTGAATCAATAGTGTTTTTACTATTCTTATTAAAGAAATTAGGCGGTTCTATATAAGAAAAAAAAAATAATAAGGTTGAAATCGGATATATTTTTTAATACAGTCGATGATGTACGCAATAAACGGATGTGTAGAACTTATTACGGAACGTATAATATGGGATAGGTGGTGGATATGTTTAAAAACGATATGTTTGTGTGTGGGGGTGTATAATATAATCTTTGGATTAGTTGTTTGACTGATGCGCAGGATTGTTGTCTAGTTTAATGATATCGTTTTTCGTCCGGCTGTCTATATCATATCGTGTTTTTTCGTTACCGAATATCTCCCGGAATTCCTATACGTCAATCACGCCGGCGTGAAACCGGATAAGGTTTTCAACCCGTAGCGTTTGTGACGCATTCTCCGGTAGAGCAAATAAAACACTTATTCCCGTGTACATATAGGCAACCGCTGCGCGTGTAGAACGGCGCACGGTTCTGGATGTTTCGATATTATCTGCCAACTCTAATTTATCGTACGCCCATTGGTAAGCTCGTTCCCGTAATATTACGTCGTTAAAAAAAAGCCGATATAAATTTACCGATTACGTTCGAGTATAGATGATAATGTTTTTAAATGTACGACAGTCGATCAGGGGGAGGGGACGGTGGGGGGAACCTCGCGCACCGCCGTCCGCAGTCGACAAGCACAACGGAACGTTTTAATATTTTTCATTCGTAAAATTTCGAAACGGAAACGGAAAATGTTTTTTTTTTTACGCTATTTTTAAAACGGCCACTTTTCGACCGAAAATTTTCGAAAAGCCGGCCGTACACTACCCACCCATGCGTACTTTTTGAACAAGAATATTATTGATGATTTTTGTTTTGTCTTGTCGACGGTCGATGACCGCGGTTTGGTGATAATATTGCGGGTATCGAATCCTCCGACCGACCGGGATTTCAAACGCATTAACGTACCGCGATTCAGTCTCTGTCCCGACTGCCACCCGGAAGGGAAATAAATGGCCGTCCGGTTATTCGCGGCGCACGGTCAACTCTCGACGCGTCCCGGGTAAGGCGGCGTGCCCTCGCCGACAACAACGGCGGCGGTCATCCACGCGTGCGGACGGCCGCGACGACAGCGCAACAGGCGTCGATATTATTTTTGAGAGTGAGAGAGAGAGAGAGAGAGAGAGAGAGATTGAAAAAAGAAGAAAATCGTGTGGAACCGAGGCGAATCGCACGACAACGATATCATTAATATGGATTATGGATTACGGATTATGCGCGAGTGTTTGGCGTTACAACGGCGAGCGGGCGGGCGTACGCTGCGCGCCGTCGACGGGAACGGCGTGTTTATAATAACAAACGACATAAACAACAGTAAAACAACAACAATGATAATATTTTAACAGTAATAATAGTAGTAATAATAGTAATGATAGTAATAATAATAATAGTAATGATAATAATAATGATAATAATAATAATAATAATAAAAAATAATAATATAATTTAACGCGCGGTGCGACGCGAGAGAGAGAGAGAGAGAGAGAGAGAGAGAGATTGGCCTGGAGACTTTAACCGGGAAAACACTGTTAATTAATAGTTAAGAGTTCGGATGCCGTGGGCGTTATTTGTTTTTTTTGTTTTTCATTTTCGATTTTCGGAGTTCTGTTATTGATAAACGATCGGAATGACGATTACCGTCGGCGTTTCGGTTTTCGCCGGGGGGGGGGGGGTTTATTGTTTATTTTGAGAGCGCTTTTTCTGTCCCGGAATCCACCGAGATACAACACCCGAACTTCAATAATAATAATAATAATAATAATAATATGTATGTACGGGACAGTCCGTGTGAGTAAAAAAAAAAAAATATATCGAATAGTGTCTGGTTTTGAGAACTTCGCCGGGCGGAGCTGTGCGGGCGTAACGGACGAGCGCGACACTGTTACAGTAGTCGCGTCCGAACGCGCTGCTTTTCACATTGGCCGGTCTGAATCCGACGGTTCCCGTTGCCGTCTGCCGTTCGCCGTTATTATCGAATGCGCGACCATTGGCGTTTATAAAGGACTACGTTACGTTTCTGTTGACAACCGTTTTCTATCGGGACGTCAATAAACGCGTACGGCACAATTTCGCGTTACGGCTCGTGTGCAATGTCGAATTCTCCATTCTCCGAGGTGTGACCGGCCGCCGACGTTATCATTCCCGTAACACTTTCCTTCGTTCCAGCCCGACGTGTTTTTTTGCTTTTGAAATTCGCCCAAGGACGGCGACAACGGGTTTCGGTTCGGACGCGGCGGTATTCCTCTTTTGTCCAAAGTCGCTACGGGCGGCTGCGGCTACAATCCCCCCAGCATTCTCGCGACAGCCGTTACAGGTTAGTCGGTCCAAGGCGGATTTACCGAAACGCGCGATAACACAATTGTAACATTCGATAAAATAACGGGTGTTGACGGTTCGGCGTCCAATCGAAACCGGCCAATGAACGCGCCTGGTGCACCG